TAAAAAATGTTACCTCAGGATGAAAGAAAAACAGGTAATAGATGGGAAAGTGAAAGCTACAGCACACATAAGGCTGAATTAATGAGAGAATTTCAAAGAAATTAGCCAAGAATAGAGACAAAGCATAGCTACTTGAGGATAATACATTGACCCGTTCGTTATCTTTGGAAAAAAGTAATACAGTCTGAGAAATACTTCTTTAGAAAACCTCATCATAGAACTGAAGGTCTCTCTTGGGCTGCCTAGAAACCCAACCTGAGAGCAGGGCTGGAGGCGGAGTACTCATGCTTCATTGAGGGAGGGCTCTGAGGAAGAACCTGAAGGAAGTGAAGAGAAAAGGCGAAGGCGCAGGGGAGTCAAGCAAGGACGGACTCTTTTGTGAAGCCCAGACTTGGCCTAGCTCATGAGGCGGAGGCTGCTGGGCAGAAATCCAACCACACAGTTGTCACCACTTGAGGCAAGGGAGCTGGCCTTTTCTACTCTACTGTCAGCGATCATCCTTATCTGTGCCACGCAGGGCAAACCTCTGGGCAAAGGTGCAGCTCAGCCAAATGCAAGCACCAAACACTCATCCAAATTCTAGAGATAAATGCACAATGCTGACAAAGGCGACCTGGGAAGGGCATTAGCAGCAGCTACTGTAAGGTGTATAAAACAGAGAGAATGTACAGAAGCAGACTAGAGGCCAGGCTTGTCGTAATAATGGGCTCCCAACGCCAGCATTTTGAAGAGCACACAGAAGAAAACGAATATCCTTGGGTTAAATCATTGAACAGTTTTTATTATTACTTACTACCTAATTAAAAACAAGGCAAATATTGTTGATGGAAACCTGAAAGGCCCAAACTTGGCACAATATTATGTTGGGAGACAAATTTCTCTGTAATCACATAGCAGCAAAGTGATGCAGCATGAGACCTGCAGAGCGTGGGATTCTTTTTGAAAGCAATTAAATAACTGATAAAAGATGAGCATCTGGCCAAGGATAGGAAATTCTTGCACTCTCACCTAGCTGAGATGTCACTAATTAATGCGGAGATGCCACAGTACCTAGTGCCTGAGTGAGCCTTCTGAGCATTAAGAAAAAATGTGACTTCTGCTTCGCTTCCACCGTCCAAATCCTATGCAACATCCCACGCTCTGCAGGTCTCATGCTGACTTCCATTTGAAAGACTACTTGTGCATCATTTTGCTGCTATGTGATTACAGAGAAATTTGTCTCCCAATATAATATTGTGCCAAGTTTGGGCCTTTAAGGTTTCCATCAACAATATGTGCCTTGTTTTTAATTAGGTAATAAGTAATAATAAAAACTGTTTTTTTTTTTCTTCTAGTGGAATCCCTGTCCCCAATAGATATCCTGCAACAGAAATACTGAGAGGTGAGGTTAACTGCTAATACATATTAGATGGCAGGGGGAATAGAAGAGGGAAAAAGACAAACAAAATAACCTCCCCACACAACACACACCCACACACTGCACACATACAAAGCAAATGTGATAAAGCTTCCACCTGAGCTATCTGATCATCACATCTGCATAGAGTCTTTGGCTTCATTCTTTTCTCTGAACACTTGTAAATGAGATTAGTTCAAAGAAAATTAAACTAATGATTTAATTAATGTAATTACTTGAAGAGAAAAGAAGCATAATTACTACAAAGTAAATGGAACAGAGGATTAAAGCCATGAAAGCAATCTATGACATCATTTGTGTTTTTATGCATAAGCTCTTTCAAAAATAAATCTGGTTTGGGCCAGTTTGTCATCATGACCATCTGGGTAAAAATGCACTATTTTGATGATTATTTGTTTTGTAACTGAATTTCATATGTTATTTTTTTTTAAATTGAACTTATTGGGGTGACATTGGTTAATAAAATTATATAGGTTTCAGGTGTACAATTCTATAATGCATCATCTGTATACTGTATTGTATGTTCACTACCCCAATCCAAATCTCCTTCCATCACCATTTTCCCCTATACCCTCTTCTACTGCCCCACACCTTCACATATTATACTTATTTTTAAACTATTAAATGTGTTGAGTTAAACATTTATTAAAATATGCCCACTTTGTAATTTAAATATTTCATTGGAATTTGAAATCAATCTGTAGAAAAACAAAATTTGCTTTTATTGCTTTAATTTGGCTTAGTATAACCACTTTTGAAAGAAGTTATTTTTATGACAATTTATCCAAAATTCCTAATTAAGTTGCAAAACCTTGCCTTTTTGTGGGGGTGGGGGGGTGGGGCGGAAATCAAATAATATAGGAACTCCAAGTCCAAAGCTATTTTATTTCAAATGTTGGGAGATGACAATTTAATTTACTTCATCAAGCATTTGAGCAAAAGTCTCATCTGAGTACTATTCAGGATAAAAATATGAGGAAGACAGTCTCAGAGGACTATAGTATGAAAACATAGGAAAGCCACCTTTACAAATTAATAGAATAAAAGGTAAAACATACAGTCCCTCTCCTGGCATGTTTCTCCCCACCTGTCTAGCTAACTTTCTTCCTGATGCCTCTTCACTCTCTGTATGTACTCATGTACTTCTTTATTTCTATTTTAATTTTGTTTGTTTTTCTAAGATCAAGGACCATAAGATCCCTTATCTGTTCATTCCTGTTTCCCCAGCACCTGTCATATGCACTTAATAAGTTTCTATTGAATGGAATTTATTATAATTTAACTAATGGCCTGGTGCACGAAATTCGTGCACATTAAAAGGGAATTAATTAGAGGACATATTTTAATATTGCTATTTTCCCTTTCTCTATAATAGAAGTGTCAGAGATGAAAGAAAATTAGTAAAATGTATATGAAAATCTTCCTCCTGTCAGAGTCTGGGGCATGCCATGAGACCCAGAGTCAAGTCCCCACCCACCTGTGTGTGCCTCGAAATCATGTGAGACCCAGACCCAGCTGGTCCTATCCCCATCAAGCCCTGCCAGGTGGGGGGTGCAGCCTCAGGTCTCCTGTCAAGCCCTGCCAGGTGGGGAGTGTGGCCTGAGATTCCCCCAGCCTGATGCTGGGGTGGGGGGCATGGCCTCAGGTCCCCTGGTCCAGGTTGAAGGGCGTGGTCTGAGGTCCTCTGGCCTGGCACTGGGGCAGAGGCGCTCCTTGAGGTGCCCTGTCAAGCCCCGCTGGGCAGGGGGCACAGCATGAAGCCCCCCGGCCCAGGCTGGGGCGGGGGACACACCTTGAGGTCTCCTGTCAAGCCCCGCTGGGTGGAGGTCATGGCTTGAGGTCAACTGTCAAGCCTTGCCAGGTGGGGGGTGTGGTCTGGGTCCCCTGTCAAGCCCCACCAGGCAGGGGGCATGGTCTGAGGTCCCCAGGCCAGGCGCCAGGGTGAGGAGCATGGCCTGAGATCCCTAGCTGGGCCCTGAGGTGGGGGGCCCAGCCTGAGATACTCCATCAAGCCCTGCTGGGGGGTGGGGGTGGGGCCTTAGATACCCCACCCTGGCCCAGCTTCAGCAGCCTCAGGTCCCTGCTGATTGCTCGTTAAAGCTTGTTACAGGAACTTGGCATCCACCGTGGGTGCATCCATCTTGTGTTACGGAAATCCCACCTCCACTGTGGACACTGCCATCTTTTGTGATGGTGTGATGGTCAATTTGCATATTACCTCTTTATTAGATAGGCTATAAATTAAAATGATATAAATAAAAGGATCTAGGAACCTTCAAAAGAGGAAGTGCTGCCATGTGGTTGGGCAAATAAATAAAATCTGGGGTAATTTTTATTTAAGGTAGATTTGAGAAAATGGGTAGCATTTAAGGAAAGGCCATTCAGAGCACAAGGAATAGTGACAAAGGCCAATGAGCTATAAACTAAAGGATGCACTTGCCAAACATCTCATACAATTTGACCAGAGTTATTTTTTATAGTTTAAAATGTGATGCATTATTATATTCATATAGAAATTTACCACTTAATCTGAATATTTAGGGTTAATTTTTGTACCTTAAGTTCTTTATACACCTAAAAATATTTCTACCTTTTCCCGCGGAGAGAGGTGAGAGAGCTGTAGAATCCCAGCATCACTTACTGAGCACTTAGCATGTGACAGGTACTGCTCAGCACTGAACATCAATGGCTTCATTCATCCCACCTCATCATCCTCTCCATGAGGGAGATACTATCAGTATTCCCATCTTAGAGAAGAGGACACTGAATTTGGTGGGATAATGTCCCTGGCCCCCATGAGACAACTAATAAGGGCTGAAGCCCATATTCTCACCCAGACAGCTGAGGACGAAATCCTCTTTTCTCTTAAACATTACGCGATGGACACGAATCCATTGCTCTCCAGGAACAGGAATTAGAGGCTCATTGGCGAACCACTGAGGGGGTAGAAGGCCTGGAACTGAAGGAAGTCATGGCTAGCTGGGGAACTAACATGACATGAAGTTTCTCAGGTCGTGTGGACAATGTGATCGGAGTACACTGAACTCAACACTATAAAGCACTTGAGAAAACAAACACTTTGCCAGACAACAGTTTTGAAGATAGAGTATGCCTTGCTCTGGGGCTGTGGGAAATTGTGAACCACGGAATTAACCGGATAAGGGCGGCAAATGGGCTCACTTCCTGGTAAAAATGGCCTCCATCATTCATAAACCATAGGCGCCACGATGTCAAGTCATCCAGATTGCAAAACAGCTCACTTTTCCGTATATTTTTTATTGATTTCATAGATGGAGGAAGAGAGAGATAGATGAGAGAGAGAGAGAGAGCGAGAGCGAGAGAGAGAGAGAGAGAGAGAGAAACATCCATGATGAGAGAGAATCACTGATTATTGCCACCTGCAACCCCGGCATGCGTCCTGACCTGGGATGAAACCTGACCTCCCGGTTCACAAAGGTCTCGGCTCAACCACTGAGCCACGCGGGCTGGGCACAGCTCCGTGTTTAAATAACCGTGAAAGAAAACGAATGCGAGCCACGAACTATTGGTGTTCAGCGGCGTCTTCCCAATCCTTCTCTCGCAGGGAACATCTTCGTGGTGAGCCTGGCGGTCGCGGACCTGGTGGTGGCCGTGTACCCGTACCCCTTGGTGCTGACGTCCATCCTGAACGACGGCTGGACCCTGGGCTACCTGCACTGCCAAGTCAGCGGCTTCCTCATGGGCCTGAGCGTCATCGGCTCCATCTTCAACATCACGGGCATCGCCATCAACCGCTACTGCTACATCTGCCACAGCCTCCGGTACGACCGGCTGTACAGCAACAAGAACTCGGTCTGCTGCGTGCTGCTCATCTGGGTCCTGACGCTCGCGGCCATCGCGCCCAACCTGCGCATCGGGACCCTGCAGTACGACCCGCGCATCTACTCCTGCACCTTCGCGCAGTCCGTCAGCTCCGCCTACACCATCGCCGTGGTGGTCTTCCACTTCCTGGTCCCCATGGTCATCGTCGTCTTCTGCTACCTGCGAATCTGGATCCTGGTCCTGCAGGTGCGGCGGCGGGTGAAACCGGACCACCAACCCAAACTGAAGCCGCAGGACTTCAGGAACTTCGTCACCATGTTCGTGGTCTTCGTGCTGTTTGCCATTTGCTGGGCGCCCCTGAACCTCATCGGCCTCGCCGTGGCCTCAGACCCCGCCGGCATGGTCCCCAGGATCCCGGAACCAGAACTTCAGGAAGGAGTACAGGAGGATCATCGTCTCCCTGTGCACAGCCAGGATGTTCTTTGTGGAGAGCACCAACGATGGCGCAGGCAGGGTGAAATGCAAACCCTCGCCGTTAAGGACCCACAATCATCTCATAAAGGTGGACTCCGTTTGAAAAACAAAGCGTTGCTGGCAAGACGTGAATCCTGCTCAAGGTCTTACTAAATGTCATGTTTGCTTCCCTCTTGACAGATGTCTAGGAAAACTGTGGTTGAAAAAAAAAAAAACCCAACCCGTGCTCTTAAGAGGTTGTCTCTATACTCCCTGAGCGAAGGTGTTCTCAGCCTTTTGAACAAGTCTCCAGTTCTTATCAAGAGAAATACAGAGCGGTTTGTTTATTGAAGACGATGGTTCAAGGACAAAGGGGAGACTTTTATTTATTTTTTTAAAATATATTTTATTGATTTTTTTTTATAGAGAGGAAGGGAGAGGGATAGAGAGTTAGAAACATCGATGAGAGAGAAACATCGATCGGCTGCCTCCTGCACGCCCCCTACTGGGGATGTGCCCGCAAGCAAGGTACATGTCCTTGACCGGAATCGAACCCGGGACCCTTCAGCCCGCAGGCCGATGCTCTATCCACTGAGCCAAACCGGTTAAGGTGAAGGGGAGACTTTTAAATAAAAATGCTGATGGTATGCAAATGGAAAAAGTGTGAAAACTTTTTGAAATTGCAAATGAATGCCATAAATGTCGTAATTGCTTTTTTCCCTCCACTTTTTAAAGATTTTTAGTAGGAAAACAAGTGGTGTGTTTTATGTATGAGTAAATGGAACAAAATGGGGTAAAGTGGAATGAGTGACTCTTCACACAATGAAAGACTGAAAATAAATCAGTGATGAACTCAACAACAACCACTACAACGTTTTCAGCTGGCAGTGTTAGCATTGGGTAGCCAGAGTCATGATCTGAAATGTTGCCGCTCTCTATTAAAAGTTGCACATTGAACAAGATAAAGAGCTAACTAAACGACAGAGCACTTTATCAGTTGTTCACAACCATACTATTTCAAAGCCATAGCTACATATAAAACTCTATGTGACCTTATTAGACATTGGGCTTATTGTCACGGAATGTCATTATTAATCATGTCACTGAGTGGCTGTTCTGAATTGATCCCTGATGATTAATTGGCATCTTAGTTCATTAAAAAAATGACAAAGAATCAAAGAGCTGTAGATTCTTAGATATGGTGCTGAATGTGTTTCATACTGACAATCTATTTGGGCAAGTAAATATCTAAGTCAGAAAGTTTTTCGTTTATCCCCATCTCAAAACAATATTCTTCAATAATTAATTTAATATTTGATTGCCCTAATAAAACTGAAAGCCTAGAAGAAAAGAAAAAACCACGAGTGACCATGTTTTTATAAATGGTGGCTCTAGTTTGCCCCAAGTAGCTATTTGGGACCTATGAGGTTAATTACATAGAGTGCTTTGCAGGAAATTAGGGCAACGTGTTCTTGTATTTTAAAGTTCTTCAACCAAACTATCTCATCCTAGAATGAGTTGGTGATTTACAGCTCTACACATAAAAAAAAACACAGTGATCTGAATACATTTCCTAATATCTCTAGATAATCAGAATCTCCTTGGAAAGTTCTAGATCCATTATTTGGAAATGTTCCTCTGATAATTCTTTTCATCAAGCATATTTGGGGATACTAAATTATGGCTGATGGGGTGATGGTGATGGTATGCATGTGCATATGTGTGTTATTTCTCAAACTTTACCTATCAAGTAATCTACGTGTAAAAATTCTAGCCAGAATCAACATTAAAGAGTAGAAATCATTTCTCTTATTGTTAAGGTTTCTTATTTTATTTTTCCCATCACCATTTTCCCTCTCTATACCCTCTTTCACCTTCACCCACCCTCCTCTACCCATGAAATCACCACACTGTTGTCCATGTCCATGAATTTTCTCTCTCTTTTTATTTATTTTTTGCTCAATCCCTCTATCCCCACACTCTCACTCCCTAGTTGTCTGCCTGCTCTCTCTGAGTCTGTCTCTATTTTGCTTGGTAGTTCAGTTTGCTCATTAAATTCCACATATGAGTGAAATCATATGGTACTTGTCTTTCTCTCACTGGCTTATTTCACTTAGTGTAGTGTTCTCCAGGTCCATCCATATTGTTGCAAAAGGTAAAATTTTCTTCCTTTTTAAGACAGAGTAGTATTCCATTGTGTAAATACACTACAGCTTTTTTTTTTTATATCCAAGAGTAGAGATCATTTCTAAGCTAACATGCAACATTTTAGATAACTGAACCTTAAAAAAAATTAACCATGTTAACTGAACTCTTTTTGAAATGCATTACATTCTTTTCTTGATGCTGAGGATGAATTACTATGTTGGTAACTCTAGAGCATGGTTGCTCTTTATAGAATTTTATTTCTTAATTTATACAATAATAAAAATACCAAATAGAAACGGTGCCCTTTAAAAATTGTCTGCCAAGTTGAGTATTTCACCTGAAAATCAGTTATGTAACATTAAAATCTTGAACTGTTTTCTTGACAACCATCAGAAAATTAGTTAGTTAAAATATTGACAAAGAAAAGCAACCGATAAAGATCAAAGACCCAGATTTTCTCTAATGAAATCTCACTGCAGACGACTGGTAAGCATTCCAGATATTATCATGGGTTTCCTCACTGTAGTATTAACAAGGAGAAAGTATTTACCTAATTATGTTTTTTTTTCTGCCCCCAAAATTTAATTAGTTGCGCCTGATTTTTCAGGGTACAAATTACTTTGTAGACTGCTTGGAAGGTTTAACTCTTTCAAGACTACTAGATTACTATTATCAAATGACTGTTGCATAGTACAAGTTGGTACCTAGACTAATATTCACTTGGAGTAGATAGAGAAGAATTTGACCCTTCTAATTTACATAAATCATTTGAATATTATCATTGGAGGGTTTGCCTTAATTGTATCCTCTTATGGAATATTGAAATCATGTAGGATTCTTTTTTGCCTTCAGCGAATGTCACTTTTACATATACATTTTTGTATTTCTTATACCTGTTACAATAGATTACTTTGGGACATATTACCTATACTTCATTATGTAAGCTTCATAACCACACAAAATATGACTATTTTTTAAAAGTAAAGAATTAGTAGATACTATAGAGTGGGGAGGCAGATGAAATAATTTCAGCTTCTCTACTCCACTGCATGTTTTATTACCAAATATTTGTATACAACTCATTCACATGCATAAAAATGATGCTTTTTCTGACAAAGCAGCAGAACTACTTGGTTTTAAATATTCTGGAAAGAAATATGAAAGAATGGACTGCCTCTGATGCATCATCAAATATTGCACTGTGAATAAGTAAACACATTTGGAATATAAAGCATACATTTCAAGTCCGTTTAAATTACTAAATTATTATATTTGAGAATTACCTGAGCATAAACTTCTTTAAGCAGGCGTTTCCTTTTAATAAATAATTTTTACAATTTCTTTTGAACCCTTCCTTTTACTTTTCTGTACTTTTATGCTTGAAAATAAAGAATCTCCATTAAAAAGAACCTCCATTGTAGGGACATACAGTGCACCAATAACAAACAGGGTAAAAATTAAGTAACAAATGGGTACCCACAGGTTGTCTGGTAATTGTGGTTGTGATGTAAGCAGTTGTGCCAGGTTCCTTAAATGCTGGGACATATCCTAACTGGGTGCCTGTCTACTGCCAGAGGACGACGGAGTCAAGTGCATTTACAATCACCTTGTTTCAAAGTGGCAAGGGGAACTGTACATTCAACTGTGTGGCATCAATCATAAAGGGACCCATAATGATGTTAGAATCATAAGCCTTAATCATATCATGCAATATTTAACATCTCTAGAACAGAAACATTTTAAATTAATGAATTTTAAATTATTTACAAATGTTTCTTACTGTTAAAGAGTTTAGTGAAGAGAGAGAGTCGTGTATGCGTGTCTTCGTGTATATGTGCCTACTGTGTGTTTGAGCCAGTTGGCTGCTTTTTGTTTCATCTTTAATGTTGATGATCTTTTAAAGATGAAACTCCACAGTTCTGAAGAGATAAAAGATTACTTAGATGTTGTGCTATGTTGTCAGGAATAATGAAATGATACCTTTTCCCTAGGAAACAGAACCTTTGTTATGACGACACATCTCTGTGTCCTGATTACAGGCGGTCCATGGTTAACATGCCCATTTCGAAGCCATTTGGTTATTGTTGCTTTTAGACATTAGAGACTGATCCTGTCTTTCCTTCCTGAACCTGGTGCTCCAATTCCTGATAGAACCGCTACTTTGCGATGAGCGATGCAAACAAGCCTGGTTTATTAACCAAATGGAGAAAATTGGTTATCATTGGTTATCATTGTTTGCTTGGAATTAAAAAATAAATTGTACAGTCTGTTTCCATGATGTGTTCAACAAATCTCTAAGGACTCCTGAGTATTGGTGCCTAGAAAGTTCTAATAAGTTCATTGACGTTGTGACCATTGAGCTAGAGAATAAACATTTGTTTAGACAATTCAAAATCATTAAATATAAGATAACCTGGGTTCAGACAATTGTTTTATACTTATTTTCTTCATTTTGGTTATAAATTTAAATAAAAACCTAAGAAGACCTTTTTCAAAAGACAATTTTTATATTTTTGAAAATACAGCCCATGATGTCATATACTTGCATGTTTGCTACTTTTGTTTATCACTCTCTGTACTTTATTACTGCCAAGGATCAACTTCAATGGAATCTTGCTTGTATATGTTTATTCTAATAAGTGATATGTTATATGTGAAGGTATGTACCTATATGTAAAAATGAATATGATTTCTTGTAATTATTTTGAAGGTAGTAAGTTTATTTTTCCTGTTATTGGTTGGGAAGTAAATAAAATGAATGTTGTTTAAGGATGAAGAGTAGTTTGAAAATTACTTAAGATATGTGTCTAGTAATGGACAATAGGCCTGTCTTTCTTTTTTTTGGCATTTTTCTTAGCAGAATCTAAACTACCAAGTTACTCATGCATTTATATCTCATATATTTATATATTCTTACCCATCATGGAAGGGAGCTGAATTTAATTGAACGTTATTTGCTCCAGCTTCATATATGCA